AACAAAGGATACACTAATTGATATAGAAAAGTACAATTTACAGGGAAACAACAGAAGAGTGGATGAAGCTGAGAATCAAATCAATGATTTGGAACATAATAAAATAAAAGACAACCAATCACAACAACAACAAAAATAATTAAAAAAAAATGAGGATCATGGAAGGATCCTCTGGGACAACTTCAAGTGTTCCAACATTCAGATCATAGGAGTGCCTGAAGAAGAAAAAAAGCAAGAAATTGGAAATCTATTTGAAAAAAAAATAATGAAAAAAAACTCCCTTAATTTGGCAAAGGAGACAGACATGCAAGTCCAGGAAGCACAGAGAGTCCCAATTATGATGGATGCAAAGAGGTACACACCAAGATACATCATAATTAAAATGCCAAGGATTAAAGATAAAGAGAATCTTAAAATGCAGCAAAAGAAAAACAGTTACCTACAGCAGAGTTGCCATAAGACTGTCAGCTGATTTCTCAAAAGAAAGTTTGCAGGCTAGAAGGGATTGGCAAGAAATATTCAAAGTCATTAAAAGCAGTGACTTACAGCTAAGATTGTTCTACCCAGCAAAGGTATCATTTAAAATCAAAGGGCAGATTAAGAGCTTCCCAGACAAGAAAAAACTAAGGAAGTTCATCATTACCAAACTATTATTATATGAAATGTTAAAGGGACTTATTTAATAAAAAGAAGATCAATACAATGAACAATAAAATGGCAATAAATACATATCTATCAACAATTGAATCTAAAAAACAAAGTAAGCAAACAAGAAGAACAGAGACAGAATCATGGATACGGAGAGCATTTCGATGGTTGCCAGAGAGTAGTGGGATAGGGAATGGGTGAAGAGGTAAGGAGATTAAGTAAAAACAAGTAGTTACAGAATAGCCATCGGGATATAAATTACAGAATAGGGAATGGAGTAGCCATAGAATTTATACGTGTGACCCATGGACATGAACAATGGTGTGGAGATTGCCTGAGGGAGAGGAAGGTGCGGAGTAGAGGGGACTATGGGGCAAAAATTGGGACAACTGTAATAACACAATCAATAAAATATAATTGAAAAAAATAAATAAAATGTAGCACAGTATTTTAGATGCAGCTGTAAATGGGATGGTCTGACAAGAACACTATCAGATGAGACAAGTCTTCTGCAAAGAAGAAATCAAGATGTAAATGACCAAATAGTGTGTATAAATAATGGTTAAACTTCTTTTGGTAAGGCAGAGCTTTGGATATGAAATTCCTGTCTCTTTTACTTGCTGCAAGTAAATAAAACTACCTTGCAACAATCATATCTTGTTTTCAAATAGAGCACCCCAGATGGTGAACCCCTTGGGTTTGGTTACACTACAATCATAGAGTTAAAACAATGGCAGAGCCAAGAACAAAATACAAGCTTTGAGAAGTTCTTCATCCTTTGAAGAATGAATGAGTCAACACAGGAAAAGAGGTCAAGGGGGAGCCAAGGAGAGAGGGGTAAACTGGATTTCCTATAACTAGAAATAGCAATGATTGGGAGCAGGAAAATCATACAGGTTGGTTATAGAAGGACGAGGCCACTTGCTATAACTCACGAATTTGAAACCAGAAACACTAAAAGAAAAAGAAACTGAAAGAGTCAAGAGGAAAGGACGGAGGGGTGGGTGGGGAAAAGGAACGGAAGGGTCATGTCAAGGAACCTATAGCAAAGACTAATGTACAAAGCCAAAGTGGGGAAAGATTTAGGGAGGGAGAAGAGGGAGAGGGGTAGGGGAAACTGGTGCTGGGAAAGCAGAGGAAAATGTATTTGAATAAAAAAATAAATTAAAAGAATAAAAAATTAAGAGCTACCTTAAAATTTAAAAAAATAATTAATTTGCATTTTTAAAATTTATTTTTTTTTCCAAATACATTCTTTGCCTTCCCCCAACCAATTTCCCTTGCTCCCACCCCACTCCCTTCCTCAACCCTTCTCCTTTGGTTTTGACCATGAGTCCTTGCTATATGTTCCTTGACTTGCCCTTTCCTTTCCTTGTCCACCTGCCCCTCCCCCCTCCTTCCCTCTTGTCTCTGTTGGTTTCCTTTCCTTTCAGTGCTGCTGGTCTTTTTTTCCTTGCATCTTTGTATTGTTGGTTAGGTTCCACTTATAGGTGAGATCATATGGTATTTGTCTGAGAAAAAGTTTGGTATTATTTCAATTTTCCTGAACTTGTTGAGGCTTGCTTTGTGTCCTATCATGTGGTCTACCTTTGAAAAACCTCCATGCACTTTTGAAAAGAATGTGTATTTTTCTTCTTTGGGATGTAAGGTTCTATATATGTCAGTAAAGTCTCTTTGATTCAGTGTGTCATTCAGCGCCACAATATCTTTATTAATGTTTTGTTTGGAAGATCTGTCCATTTTTGACACTGGGGTATTGAAATCCCCTACTATCAGTGTGATACTGTCTTTATCTTTTTTAAAGTTGTCCAAGATTTTCCTTATATATTTGGGTGCTCATATATTGGGGGCATATATGTTTATAATGTTTATGTTTCCTTGATGGATTTTTCCTCTGAGTATTATAAAGTGTCCGTCTGGGTCTCTTTTTATGGCCTTTGCTTTGAAATCTATTTTGTCTGATATAAGTATTGCAACCCCTGCTTTCTTCTCTTGCCCACTTGCTTGGAATATTTTTTCCATCCATTTACTTATTTTTTTTTCAAGTATTTCTTTCTTTCTTTCTTTATTTTTTAAATACATTTGTCTCTGCCTCCCCCCCACCACCACTTTCCCTTGCCCCCTCCCTCCATCCCTCCCTCAGCTCTTCCCCTTTGGTTTTGTCCATGAGTCCTTGCTATATGTTCCTTGACTTTCCCCTTCCCTTCCTTTTCCCTGCCCCCCCTTCTTCCCTCTTGTCTCTGTTGATTTCTTTTCCTTTCAGTGTTGCTGGTCCTATTTTCCTTGCATCTTTGTATTGCTGGTTAGGTTTCGCTTATAGGTGAGATCATATGGTATTTGTCTTTCTGCATCGAGCAATACATTAAAAAGATTATCCACCACGATCAAGTGGGATTCATCCCAGGGATGCAGGGATGGTTCAATATACGCAAATCAGTAAACGTGATACATCACATCAATAAAAGAAAAGACAAAAACCACATGATCATCTCGATAGATGCTGAAAAAGCATTCGATAAGGTACAGCACCCATTTATGATCAAAACACTCAGCAAAATGGGAATAAAGGGGGCATTCCTCAACGTAATAAAGGCCATATATGAAAAACCTACAGCCAATATCATACTCAATGGGCAAAAACTGAAAGCTTTCCCACTAAGATTGGGAACACGACAAGGATATCCGCTCTCACCGCTTCTTTTCAACATCGTATTGGAAGTCCTAGCCACAGCGGTCAGACAAGAAAAAGAGATAAAAGGCATCCAAATAGGAAAGGAGGAAGTAAAGCTATCATTGTTTGCAGATGACATGATAGTGTACATAGAGAACCCTGTAGACTCTACCAAAAAATTCCATCCCTTTACTTTCAATCTGTGTAGGTCTCTTGCTCTGAGGTGGGTCTCTTGTAGGCAGCATATGTGTGGGTCATGTTTTCTTATCCATTCAGCTACCCTGTGTCTTTTGATTGGGGCATTCAGTCCATTTACATTGAGAGTTATTACTGATAGAAACCTATTCATTTTTTCTCTTTGTACCTTTGTTTTTCTCTTTCTCACTCTTTCCATCATCTTCTTACACCAGTCCCTTTAGTGTATCTTGTAGTGCTGGTTTGGTAGAGATGTATTCTTTTAGCCTTCTTTGTCTAGGAAACTCCTTATTTCACCTTCTATTTTAATTGAGAGCCTTGCTGGGTAGAGCAGCATTGGTTGTAGGTCCTTGCTTTTCATGACTTGGAATATTTGTTGCCATTCCCTTCTGGCTTGTAGTGTTTCTGTTGAGAAGTCAGCTCCTAGGCGCATTGGGGTCCCCTTGTATGTTACTTTCTCCTTCTCCCTTGCTGCCTTGAGGATTCTCTCTTTGTCTTTGACATTTGCCATTGTAATGATGATGTGTCTTGGAGTGGACCTCCTTGAGTCCCTCTTGAGTGGGACCCTCTGTGCCTCCTGGAGCCATGAGACCTTTTCTCTCCTCAAATTGGGGAAATTTTCCATCATTACTTTTTCAAAGAGGTTCTCTATCTCTTGCTCCTCTTCTTCTCCTTCTGGGATCTTTATTATGTGGATATTATTGCGTTTCAGGTTGTCCTGCATTTCCCTAAAGGCCTCTTCATTCTTTTTTAGTCTTTTTTCCATTTCTTGTTCTTTCTGGGAGCTTTTGTCTACCTTATCCTCTGTCTCACTGATTTGATCCTCGGCTTCATCCAGCCTGCTTTGGATTCCTTCTACTGTGTTCTTCAATTCAGAAATAGTATTCTTCATATCCTCTGTGTCTTCTTGATAGTTTCTATGTCCTTTTCAAGGTTTATATAGCTTGCTGTAAGATCCTGATTGTTTCTCTGCAGTTTCTCATAGTTATCTGTGAGCTGGCTAAGCTCATTGAGCTTCCTTAGAACCATTGTTTTGAATTCAATATCTGATAGTTCCCTTGTCTCTATTTCAATTAGCTCTCTCTGTGGAGAGTCCCCTTTTCCACTTATTTGGGGGGAACTTTTTTTTCTTCCTATTTTTGTGGGAGTCTGTTATTTATTTATTTATTTATTTATCTATCTATCTGTTTTTGCTTCTGCTTCAATTGAGCCGTCTAGATTTCCTGACTTTGTGAATTAAACTTCTATGGTAGTAGGTGGTCTTTTTATTTATTTATTTAAAAAAAATTTTTTTCTTTAGTTTTCTTTCTGGGCCTCCTCTGATAATCTCAGTTGTTGACCCTATATGACCTTGGGTTGTTTGCTTGAGCTTTCCAGGAGTCTATTGTCTGTGTCTGACTCCTGCCTGGGGTAGCTCTTTGACCCCTTCAGTCAAGGATCCACTATTTCTGTGGATCAGTTTGCACTCTCACGCAGGTCCTTGAGCATGCTCCCCGGCCGGACAGAATCTCCAGCCCACCTGGGCGCTTATTCGCCCAACCTCGGGCACTTCTCTGGCGCCTGTGTCCGGTGGGCACCCTGGGACTGGTCAGTTTAAGGTCTTTTATAGTGTTCTTTCCCTGCTTTTGGCTCTTTGGGGGTGTTTCCTGCCCTCGCCAGATAGAGACTATGTAAATGGGAGGAAGTCAGCTCTAGGACTCTCCAGTTAATCCTGTCTCCAGTCTCTCCTCCAGTGACTCTGGGCAGCTCTGTGACCCCTTCGGCCCCGGATCCACTATTTCTGCAGACCGCCCTGTACTCGCAGGCCGCACTGGTCAGTTTACGCCTGCCCTCACCGATCTGCACACTCCCTTGCAGGCCACGTCAGCGCCAACCTGCAGGAGCCCTCACCATCCCATGCGGGTCCACACACAAGCTCACCAACCCTCGCCGGCCACTTGGCGCGAGTGTGCAGGCCAGCACTGGGTGGTTTGGGGCTGTCTATTGTGTGCTTTTCAGCTTTTGGCTCTTTGGTGGTGTGGCCTGTTCCCGCACAATGGAGACTACGGAGAGAAGAAGGAGTCGGGACTCCCAAGTTCCTCTTCCTATTCTATCCCCAACACCTCTGTCTCCAGTCTCTCCTCAGGGGTCTCTAGGCAGTTCTGTGACCCCTTCAGCCAAGGAGCCACTATTTCTGCGGACCGCATTGTAATTGCGGCCCGTCTGGCTCGTCCGTGCCCCCTTCTGCCTCTTTGGGGGCGCGCCCTGCCTGCCCAAATTGGAGACTATGGAATGGGGAGGGAGTCGGGACTCCCCGGTTCCTCCTCCTGTTCTTTCCCCAATGCCTCCGTCTCTAGTCTGTCCTCAAGGCTCTCTATGCAGCAGTGTGACCCCTTTGGCCAGGGATCCTCTATTTCTTCCAGCCTGTCTGCACTTAGCCCACCAGCTCACATGCGCACAAGCTGTGTGTGGAGTGCACAAAAGGCAGGTTAATTGATTCCTTTATGCCTGAGTGAGATGGTAGCTACAGAGTGGGAAGTGAGTTATCACCAGGGCTCCGCCGGCCACTGTCTCAGTTCTCTTCACAAAGTTTTCCTCACCAATCTTTCCTCTGGCACCAGCCTACTCTGCTGCCGCCTCTACCCAGAGATCAAGGAGGGTGGTTGCGACGGCAAATTTGTGCGTTGGCCCTTTAAATGTCTCTTCGCATCTCCAGCCACCTGTCTCTGGCAGAGAGTACTCCTAAGCTTTTCGGGGTTGTGTTTTGTCTGTGTGTTTTCCTGGTTTTAGCTGCTGTAGTCTAGGGGTCCTTGTTCATGGTTCAGACCTTGTTCTTCTCAGGGGGATCCAACTGGCCGTTTCAATGTCCCTCTGGTGCTGGTGCCTGAGAGTGCCCAGCCCACCCTCTTGAGGCTCCACCGCACTTCTCACCCATTGGGATGTGTGAGAATTGAATTCATTGTCTGTCCGTGGCTCCAAGGTTCCTCTCCCTTTATCGTTCCATTGTTTTCCAGGTGATTTCTCCACTATTTAGTCACAATTCCAGTTTGGTCTCGGGAGGAGGTCAGCGTGACTCCCATTCACTCCTCCACCATCTTCCTCCTAATTTGTATTTTTTAAAAACATTTGCTTTACAAATACATGATCTTCCAAAGGTCTGGCTTATATCGTTGAATTCACAATGTATTCTTCTGGCACAAATTACAAATTTTGGTTGACTACCAATATGGCACCTGGACAGAGTCTCTGCACAATTCAATTGTGTGTGACATGCATCTATAACACTAGAACCTCTGAAAACCCCATCTAAGGGTTAAAATGCATACATAGTATGCATACTCTAGGTTAGAAACTACACTGATAACTTTCTCTGAAAAATATTTCTATTCCTTTGAACATTAAAACCTTTCAGTTGGTATCAACAATAAGGAAAAGAAGCAGCTGTCGAAGAGAAAGGCCCAATAAGTCATCATTTCTACTTCACCCTCAGAGCTTATTCCATTCTTGCCCAAGTCACCTTTGATTTAGATCCAAGAAAATGGAATTTTCTGAAATCACAGAAACCTTCTTTTATCCTTTGTTTTCCAACAAGCTAGTATATTTATTTGAGAAATTCTTAAACTTACACTTTTGAGATTATAATGCCAAAAAATTAAAATTTTTGGTAGACATCAAAAAATTGAACTGCACTTTTTAAAAAATATAGATGCAGTGAACTAATAGGAGATTAAAAAAGAGGAAGGAATAAATACCTAGGGAAACTGGTGCAAAAAAATTAATTCCAGGCACAAGAATTTTGATTCTGTTAAATAATTAAACTGTAGTTTCATAAACAGAGAATTAAATATAGGTGGAAATTCAAGAAAAGGTGCTTTATTCCTGACAGATATAGAATAGATAATAATTGGAAGAAACTGAGTGAGACAAAAGGCTGTTTCATTAATCCAGATATTGCTCATTTACCAAAAAGAATTTATAAGTACCCACAGTATAAATGACACTTGATTAGACACAAATTAATGCTTACTTGAACCAGGTCAGTGACTACAAAAATGGAAATAGTCTTGTTGATTATTAATAAAATCATTAAACCAGAAAAAAAAAGAAATGGTCAGTGGTCATTGGACATTCAACTGATATCTGTTAAGTTCCAACCAGTTTATTATTGCCGAGTGAGGCATATGGGCCTCATTCAGAGACTTCACAGTCTGTTCCTAAAGAAAGCAGTGGCAGGAGCCAAACCCAAAATTCCGAAATGGCCCCAATGAAGTAACAGGACCAATAGCACATGACTTTCACACCTTAACAGAGTGTCACATCCTAACAGAAGAAAGTCATCTGCTCCACAAATGACATCCCTCTTTCAGGCCAGGGGCCAGTGTGCAGCTGACAGACAGAGCCAACAAAGGCACACACTTTCCACAAAGCCAGCTCAGAGCAAACAAGAACATTCCAATAGGTTGTAATATGATTTTACAAACTCTTCTGTTCTCTTTCTATCATTTTCTTGGCTGACAGCTGCCACATCTTCTATAATTACTCTTCAGGATGTACTTTCATGACTACTGGATCAGTTTCCTTTTAAATTACACATACTTTTCATTCTAAGCATGTAAGAGATAGAAGCTAAGGTTTTCATCTCAAGCATTAATGGAGCCAATTAAACCACATATTGTGTGACTTAAATGCTTACCCTTAACAGATTAATTAGTTTCTCCCCTAGAAATTCCACAAATACAGTGTGCAAATATTACCAAATGCAAAGACTATCTTTACACTGCTTAGATGTTTGCAGTCTCTATTACTTAATAACTCTAAGTGATATTTATAGTGTCTACTAATAGGTAAAGCTGGGGTATAAAACAGAAAAAGACAGGGGAGAAACTTAGAGATAACAAACTGTCTGAAAGGGACAGCTTAAAGCTGGGAGACATGGCTGAATGTCAGAATCATGGATCCTCCTCTGTATTATGGGCCCCCAAGCTCTGGGGTAATTTTGAAAGGTTCTTTGTCATTGGGATCTTTGCCACCTGAAATATTGAACTGATAAATGGGCAGAAAACATCCATAGAAACTCCCAGTTTATGATACACTTTGCAGACTTTAACTTTCTCCAGAAAATTCCCAGTGCCATCATTGGCATTATTGAGCTTCCATCCTGAAAAAGCACACAAGTTCTTTCACTCTGACATACTTGGTGAGCCACCTCATAGTGTGACTATAGGAAATATAAAGCACTGGCTTCCAGATTAAGAAAGTTGCTTGAATCAATGCAACTTTTTATTCCTGTGGAAATCTTACTAAAACTAGTCAAGGGTTATTTAAAGATATAAACCCATGGGGAGAGCAGGAGAAAACAGCCACCACATGCTGGAAGCTGGAAAGCACATGTGAAATTATTGTAAATAGCATACAGACCCAGAAAGCTAAATCCACAGGTATCAGAAGGAAAAGGCTGAAAATCAGCCCAAATTATATCAGGAAATCACCAAAGACTCAGGAACTTTCATAACTGTCCTTTTCAGGACTGGAAATAAAAGTAAGTTAAAATAAGGAAGACTGAACACCATCTGTCTGAGAAGCAGATAGTCATTAGTCATCTTTTCTTACAAGCCCATGGCCACGTGACCAAAGTGAGAGGAATGGAGAGATCCTTCTCAGGCTGTCCAGGTGCACTTGAGGGCCTGGTTCCTGCACATGGAACAGGGGCATGTGGGAGACCCCACAAGGCTGAACTGTAGCCTTCACTGTCCCTCCAAGTCCAACACCACAGCATGTCATTTCAAATTTACATACCTGCAGTTATTCTGTCAGCCATAAATCCATCACAATGCCCTATAATTCAACCCACATATCTTTATATCTCCACCCTAGGATATCAGAAGATACCATCAATCGTCATGCCAAAACTAAATCTCATTTAATAATTAAGCAAACTATTCCTTATTTATTTTGAATTTTAAAGCCCTCTTAATGATCTTTTATTTGTCCCATTTACTTGAGTTTTAATATCACTCTCCTCCAAGGAAAAGGCAGATGTAAATTGAGGATTAAATAATTCTGTGTTCACACTTTCATCTCAGCATCAGCCCACCACCTCAAGCTCAGAGTCTACACATTCCATGTGGAGTTTACTCCAAACAATGGCTTCTTGAAAACCTCTCGTTGCATCCTTAGTATTTTCATAAGCCACAGCTTTTTCTCTGCTTTTGCTCTCCCACCCACTTCTCCTGACTGCATGGATCATTGGCTATCAGGCTCTCCTTTTATCTTTCCTTTAAAACCTAAGTCATGCAGCTGCTTCCAGGGTCAGCATTTGTTTCTCTATATGCTTTCTCTTCTTTCTTATTGAAAGCACATGTGATTATATTGTCATCCAATCATTTTCTTAAAGCCTCCAAGCCTTCTTGAGCCAGTTCATCACACAGACTCTCTGACCATCAGGTCACAAATTATCTTTCCTATGGACCAGGTGTTGCATGGTTATGCCCAAAGCCTCTGCATCTTCATTATAGAAGTCAGGAAAGCCCAGTGAATCAGTAGAACAGACAGGATGAGGTCATTAAGAGGCCAAGTCAGCCCTTCTGGAGCTTGACCCTGTTATTTCAGATGACTGGAGGTTTTTAAAGTTGTCTGAGACCACAGCCTAGGTCCACCACCCCTCCCTACCGTGTCATGTCTGGATATGGAACCACCAATGTGGTAGAGTCATGGTGTATTCTGTAAATGCACAGAAAAATAGCCAAATAAACACCCAGCCACACCATCCCAGTCTGTTCTATCAGCTGCTATATACCAACCCAATGAGTGGTCCATTCTTATTTTATAATTGCCATAAACTATGTCTATTCTCAATCTGTGTGATCCAAAAGCTTCCCCAGGCTCTCCTCCCCTCTGCCCATCCAGAGCCTAAAGAGTTACAGTTTCTCCCAGCACTCTGTCTTAGATGAACTCATTTTAGGAAATGGC